GTACAGTACAGGATCTTTGGTTATTGGGATCTTCTATTATTGAGATGGAATCATAGGGATTAACAGCAGCCTGCTCCAGGTAAGTCACAATCTCCTTTTCCTCATTATTCTATATATTTCTTAAAATGTACCCATCACTTCATCATCTCAGTTTTCTTTCTGCAACCAGCTTCTGTTTCAAATTCACAAGATCTTTATTTGCATTTCTACTGTATTTATAAACTGAATATCTTCAGCATGGACTTGCTATAGAAAATAAACTTATTTTGGACTATAATAAATACTTACAAACCACAATAAATGATAATGTTGTTGGAATAGAGAGATTCCAGATTTCAGATCTATATTCTCCCAAAGTCAGAATACCCTCCTTCTGCCAATTGTTCTGCTTGGATCCACCTGATTGATTCAGCTGCTTGCTAGCTGTATTTGAAGATTCTTTTATTTGAAAGCTGTGTGGGCTTATGTAACACTTACTGCTAGCCAAAGCAGTATATTCGTTCATTCATTCATTCATTCATTCATTCAATTTACATGGATGCTCATAGCCACCCACTTGCCAACCAACACTGGGGTTAAAAACATCACAGGAAGTGGTAAAAAGCAATAAAACACATTATGCCTAGCACACTAACATTCCTAAAAGCCAGCAGGGTTGAGGCCAACCCAATGTGAGGGAGGAGGCTGTTCCACAGGGCAATACTGCTATAGAGTAGGCATGCCTCCTGGGTCCCATAAGATGACACTGTTTAATTGATGGGACCTGGAGCATGCCAACTGTCTGATCTTGTAGATGGGCAGAGATCAGTGGAGACAGTGGTCCTACAAATATCCAGTCCCTGTGCCACAATACACACCGACCACCAGGGTCGTTGCTGGCATACAAGGCACCCTTATCCAGAATTCCACTTAGTGCCCCCCTCAACAAAACATGTTTTAAATATTGAAAATGCATTAAAGATAATGATGCAAGGGCCAACTGGGACACAGGTTTAGGTTCCATGGCCAAATATGCATGTGTGAAGTCAGTAAACCTGTGTTGTCGATACTGTATCTCTCGCTCTCTCTGTTTTTCAGTTTGCAATTGGTCACCCCACACGTGGCCTAGAATTTGCATACCAGGTTGTGGAAGCCCTGCTGACCACTAAGGAGAACAAGAGAAAGTAGAAGTAGTGGTGACGGGGTAGGAAATAGCAGGATCAAGGAACACTGCCAGCACCACTAGGCCCTCTATGGTGCCTTATGGGATCAAGACACCCAGTAATCAAGATGAGCCTAATTCTTTGGGCACCTGAGGCAGAAGATTCCAAGAGCATCTCTCCTGTTCCCTGTAAGTAAAAATTCAACCCACCCAGTGATAAATAATTGATAATAAACAATTTCTTGTCCTTTTATGACATCAGAAACACTACTTAGAATGGGTGATTTAAGAGTGCATGAGTTAGATGGCTAGAAAACATTTAATTCAATGGTTTTCAATAACAGCATTGCTGAATTTCAGAGTGAAGTGAAACCTCACTGGGAGTCAGGTAAAATAATAATAATAATAATAATAATAATAATAATAATAATAATAATAATAATAATAAGAAGAAGAAGAAGAAGAAGAAGAA